CAAAGGTTAAGGAGGAGAGCACTCTTTTTTCCTAAATGATGCATTCTAATCAATGTAATGTGTCAGGTACAACACGGAGACAAAATACCTACACTACAGGTTCTATTTAAATAGTGTCTCGTGAAGCTCCAGTGGCACAATCGGGTAGTGTGCAGTAATTATAAATATCATGTCTTTAGTGTGCAGAGCTATTTTTACCAAGTATTTTCCTTGCTGAGCTGCAGCACGCTCAGGAATCCATGCCGGTGGCTACAGTCCAGCACTTCAGTCCTAAGCATTCTCAGTGTGCCTGGCTCCGCGTCATGACTGGGATGGAGAAACTGTGGAAGCAGGACAGGAGCCGTGGCCAGGAGAGTGTGGCAATCCACAGCGAGCAAACTCAAACCCGCGGGGGTCCTCCTCACACAGGTGCTGGCTGCCCCAAGGCAAGTCACACTTCCCAGAGAGCTCGCCCCACCATCCAAACCTACCAGGGCTAACAGGCCACAAAGGAAAGGAAGTTTTTAAGCCTTGTGCAGTTTTTTTTTCAAATGACTGCTTGTGGAGTTGAGAAGTATATTCATGCCTATGAGTCCGGTATGTCAGAGAGAAATTAGCTTTCTATTTAGGATCATGGAACAGCCTGGAAAGAGCAGAGTTTGTGGCCCACAACATGGTGAAAGGAATTAATAGCACTGGATGGCTCAAACATGAGTAGAAAGGTAAATATGCACATGTGGGCTGGTGTCTCACCAGGATAACAAACGGGAATGTGGGAGGGTGGAGGCAGAGTATTTTTCAAGAAGAAATATTTTAATGCCCTTACTTAGCATGTTGCTTAGACATCTTTAAAAAAAATAGCCTTCTAATTTGTTTGGTTTTAAAATTGGATTAACAATCTCAAGTTCTGAATCCTATTTAGCTATACACCAGAGAAAAGAGAAAACAAGGTCAGAATGATTACTTGTAGAATGCATAAATTCATTCCCAAAAGGCTATTTGATCTACCACACCTCCTCCTTTTTTTGTCACCTGAATTTATCTGCCTACAACCTGCCCCACTCCACTCCCCTCCACATAAAGAGAGAGAGAGAGAGAGAGAGAGAGAGAGAGAGAGAGAGAGAGGAGAGAGAAAAGAAAGAGCCGGGGAGATGGCTCAGCAGAATAACCACTTGCCTGGCGAGGGCAAGGGCCTGAGTTCAATCCCTGCTTTAGGAAAGAAAGAGAGAGAGAGAGAGAGAGAGAGAGAGAGAGAGAGAGAGAGAGAGAGAGAGAGCCGCTTTCAAAGGAACTGAGAAGAACAAGCTCCGGCCTAGGGCCGGATTCCTCACATACAGTTCTGCAGTTGTCTTTGTGCGATTGCTTAACAGCCTTCCTCCGACTCACAGCAGATGTAGAGATCCGGTGTGCAGGGCCAGGTGCTGTCCCTAACCCGGTAAGTGCGCATCCTGAGGACGCCCCCGCGCCGCACAGAGTCCCATCATCCTCCCCACCCGGTCCCACTCTTTTCCCTGGGGACGGCTCTGGGCTTTGGAGGGCATCAGACCATTCAAGCCACCAATACTGACCCTCAGGATACAAACAGGAAGCTTTATCATTATAAATTACTCTTTAAAAAATTCAGTCTCTGAACATGCTTGGCTTCCGGTCGGCATGTGTAGGCGCCCTCCTTCAAGCTAAGCACCAAGGTCTCCAGAAGGGTCGGTGTGCAGCTTTCTGCATTGAAAAGCAAAGGAAAGGTGCAGATAAGCTTGCTTTCACTTGTTCTTTCACGTTTTTAGAAGCAAAGTAAGAAATATTCATCCTGATGATCACGATTTACATTTATGTGCACCAGCCTTGCTGAGCAGTGAGATTTGATCTGAGCGTGGCTTTCCAGCTGGTGGAGGGCTAGAGTCCACCCATCAGACCCAGGACGCCTCTGGGGTGCCCCCAGAGCGCTCGCTTCCTTTTCTTGCTGCCTTTGCTGTTTTTCCTCCCTTACCGCTGTGCTTCCAGGTCGTTCCCCGGATGGCAACCTAGGACACAGGGAGCCTCATGACGGTGCAAGCTCCGTGCTTCAGGACACAGATTGTGGAGCCTGTGGTGGACGCTGCTGTGGCCCCGGGAGCTCCAGCTCCGTGGCTCCTGCTCATTCTTCTCCCGCTTCCTGTTTGGAAACAGGCCACACCCACACCCACACCCACACCCACACCCCCAGCGACGCTCCACAAGCTGTAATCTGCAGTGTAGAAGTTTTAAAAGCAAGAAAATCAAAAACGTTACTTAGGAGGACGTGTCAGAGGATTAGTTTAATGAGCAACAGTGGCCATAAGCCACTAAATGTGTTCTCTGTCCTTCCTGGGATGCTGTGTGTTTCAGCGGAAGACTTCTGCCATCTATTACCTGAAGCCCTCCCTAAAAAATTAGAAAACTAGCATTTTATACATTCATGAGAAAAAATTTCAAAGACAGTGGATATTTGTCATCTGCTTTGTTTGATTTTATGCCGTATGCAAAATTCTGGAGAAGACAAACCAATCAGAAGCCCACATATCTAAAATACTACAACACAACTTAGAATTAACCACAGAAAACAATCAAACGTCCCACTCCCTGTGCTAGAATTCTGATCTTTGCTGTAGTTCTTTAATTTATAAAATATCTAGACCTTGTATGTCTTCTGGAATCCCTGATGACTGCATCAAGCCACCCGCATGTCCAAAAATCCTCTTACACAGCGCAGGTGGCATGCATGTTATTTATTTTTAACTCCATGTGGCTCAAAGCTGTATAGGGAGATGAAAACCGGGTTAACATATGCAGCTCTGCTCAGGAGCCCTTAGTGTCATGTCTGAAACACGCCGTGCCACAGCACCAGTTAGCAGGGCCTCCCTGCCTTTGAGCAGCCAGTGTTCTAGGACTGATGTGTGTCTGGCACTCTAGGAACAGTGGAAGCCCTCCCTGTCCCTAATTCATGTGTGGAGCTCAGGGCTTGGTTGCATCACTTGCCAGAAAGCTAAGCAATAAAGCACTGAAGTTAGGCAAGGCCTATGCCAACGAAAGGCCTTGTTCTCAGCTACCGTATCTACCATCGACCTCAGTGAGCTGGAACGTTACTTTAACTTTAAACTCTCATGGAGCTAAGACTTCTTGTAGCTGTGGGCCAAATCTAAACTTGTGTCCCTGCATGGGAAGCGCAGTGCCCAGGTGTCCTACCTAGATAATAGGCAGTGTTCCTAGGGCGACCAGAAATTACTGAGAAAACCCGCCTCATAGCAGCATCTTCTCTCTGCCCTAGAAGGAAGACTAGTGAGGCTTAAGTAGAGCCTGTGCAGTCACTGGCCGTGTTGCACTGGCGGTGTTGCAGGGGAGACGCAATAGGCAAGGGGAGCTGGGGACGGATGTATCTTGCCTCCCGTCACAGGCTCTTGCACTGAGAAGACAAAGAGTAGTACTGTGATGAAGTGTTTGGTGAACTCAGTTGTAACTCATTTTAACTAACTATTCCATGAAATTATTATTCTCATATGTCATTATTTATGAGAAGTGGGGACTGCGATGCCTTTGTTAAATTTCTCATTTTCAAGATTTGGATGGGGCTCGCTAAAAATGAAACTCACTCTAAATATGTTCATTTAAAAATAGTAATTCTGGGGCCAGGGAGATAGCACAGTGGAGTACGTACTTGCCTGGCAAGCACAAGGTACTGAGTTTGATCCCTGGTACTACCAAAAACAAATAAAGAAAGAAAAATAAAAATATTAATTCTGATTGCTATGTAACAAAAATAGAAATGGTATATCTGGTTTTGGAGGGATAGTTTTTATTTTAAATTCAGAATTGTATATATGTTTGCCATTCAGTGAGTTTTGAGATCCACCCCAGGTTCGTGGCTGCCCTTCCTGGTGGTCTGTGTATCCTAAATGCTTCGTGCCCAAGAGCTATTTGGTGCCTGCTGCCCTGCAGGAAGGAGGGATGTCGGGGAATTCCTACATCACGTCTTATCTTCAAGTCCAGCATGCTCTTAACAGACCTCGTCAAGGTCAAAAGCACAACGTGCGCTAAGCAGTAGAAACCCCAGAGAAAGCCAGGATCTGAGGATGCCAGAAGGGCGGCGCCGCTGACCTGGCCGACCTGGAAGACTGCGCTGTTCTCGGGAAGGGGCTAAAGGCTCGCAGCAGGGCAGGAGCAAAGTCCAAGGGCTGGGAAGGGAAGGCGGAGCTGAGGAGAGCTGAGCAGTGAGATGAGCAGACCGCAGAAAGAGAGGGAGCGCAAAGGGTCTTTAAAGGGGACGAGGAAGCCAGGAATTAGCTGGCTAATGGGGAACTAAATAAAACTGGGTAGCCTTTTAACATCGGAATTTGGGAGAATATGTTGTGGTGCCTCCTGGAATTTGTAATAGCACTCATTTAAAATTCCTCTCTGAGGTGTAGCCTTTGTGGCAGGATGAAAGGCACATTGTTGCCTGGAGGGCTCGGCCGGCAGGAAGCCCGTGGGGTGCATCTGCGTGCCTGCCACAGACACCGGGACACTGAAGCCTTCGGCCAGAACAGTATCATGAAAGGGACTCGGGCTGTTTTGTATTTGGTCTATAATTATAATACAAACTTATTATGTTAAAAACTCTAGCTGGGCTTACCTTGACAGTTTTGAGTTTATGTTCAGTCCACTATCCAGCCTCACCTCTATTTTTTATATTTAAACAAAGAAGCACGGAACCAGAAAAATGAATGGAACGTATTCTGAAGTCACTGAACGTCAGAGAGCGGTCCACCTTGAACACAATGCTTTTTCTTGAGCACAGAGCAAATCTGCCTGCTCTTAGTGTCTGAATGCACATGCCTACCTTAGAGGCACGCGGTAGGGTCAGAGGTGCTGTTCTACCTGGCCCAAAAGAGTTGCTAGGGAGGAGACAGTCACCCAGGCCATACTTTCTGTCACACATCCTGTGCATTTGCAGATGTCATTGTATAGGAAAGCTCTGAAAGCATATTACTGGTTCTTTTCTCTTTTTTTTTCCTTTTTCATTTGAATCACAGCAGAAAATGGCCCCCGTCTACTTGTGCAAGCGGAACAAGCCAAGGTCTTCTCCCACCGGGGTGGCAATGTCACACTGCCCTGTAAATTTTACCGAAACCCTGCAGCATTTGCCTCAGGACTCCATAAGATCCGAATCAAGTGGACCAAACTAACTTCAGATTACCTCAAAGAAGTGGATGTCTTTGTGTCCATGGGCTACCACAAGAAAACCTACGGGGGCTACCAGGGGAGAGTGTTCCTGAAGGGAGGCGGTGACAATGACGCTTCTCTGGTCATCACAGACCTCACCCTGGAGGATTATGGGAGATACAAGTGTGAGGTAATTGAAGGCTTAGAAGACGACACAGCTGTGGTGGCATTAGATTTGCAAGGTGGGTATCTATAGAAAAGCCTAAGCTGAAAGCGGTAATTAATCATGGATCGTTTTTTATGACAGGTAATATGTAGTGCTTACCATAGTAATAATGTGAGAAAGCAAAAGCCTATAGCCAGGGTGTTTTCCTGTTATTTTATAATTTGCACTTTGCCTGTGTTCAGCTTTCACATTCCAAACGTACACACAAGCTGATGTGCACAGTTGGAGCTGTTGCAGCCGGGGAAAACATGAGGTGGATCTGAGTTAATAATTTTTAGAAATTGCTTTATTCTATTCGAAACTTATTCCCAACATATAGTTACTGAGAAATTCATATAGGACTCTTTGTTATTATCCTTCTAAAATTACTCAGCTGCAAAATGATGGGTAGTTTTGTAAAGAACACCTGCACTCAAATGAATGAAATTATATTCTGCTAAATGACTATAAAAAGTTAATTTAACATCAAAGTAACTTCCGAGTTTATTCAAATGTTCCTGTCAAGAGCTCCTTGTTTCACAACCCAGCGTCTCTTAGACACTGAAAACAAAATGCTCAAGGTGTTTAGGGAAAGGGGAGGGTCCCATGCCTTGAATATATAATATATTCAGTTGATTCAAAAACCAACATGGGTGTAAATCCCTCCAGGCCAAGTGTCCCTTCCACGTTTGCCTCCCTCTGGCCAACACCCATCCTCCAAGGAAACGTGCTCTTTCATTTTCTACATATATCATGCCATCTGGTTTTTCACATATTTTAGCCATATTTTACATTGAGAATGAATTCTGGCTGCATGGCCAGCAGCCTTCCCTTCCACAAAACTACAGTATGCAGTTAATAGAAGCTCATTTTGTCTCCTGGTGCAGCTTTGTGGCTTTTGGAAGAAAAAAATGCCTGTCGGCGCCCTACGTCCCCTCTGGAGAGCCGACCTTCTAGGGCTGCACGAGTCCATCGCGTGTGGAGGCTGACGAGCTTCATGCATCTGATAGCTTGCACCATCTTAGAAAGTGCATCCTGGGACCCTTCACTGGCCTGTCTTTGGGGCAGTTTTTGGCTCCTGGTTGCATGCAGCCTTGGCCTTTCGGGTCTTATTTATTCAGTCTAATATCCATGAACGTTAGGATTAGTAGTGTGGAAGGAGTGGTTGGCTCAGAGAAGACAGAGGAGCACTGACAGACCAAGAGCTGCTAAGCATGTCTTTGGCCCCACGTGGTCGGCTGTAGCTTTCCAACTTTTGTACGTGTAACTTCCATACCTTGATTACCTATCTCCCAGACTATGTGGTAAAAATTGTCCTTAGGTTATGGGCTAGGTCTCTCAAATTCTAACTATGGGTTTTATTTTATTCTATGATGATCTTTATAAATTTTTATAATTTCATTTGAAAATGCAAAATCCTTACCTTATTGTGGCACACAATCTTGGCTAAGGTAAAGCCTTCTAATCATTACTAATTAATTATATTACTAAAAAAAATGCAACAAGAAATAAGCATTTTATAAATATAACAAGGATGGTGTTACTAGAAATTCAGTAAGTAGCTTTACAAAATTCAATGCAGTTGCAGCAATCAACAGATACACAAAATGCTATTTAAAATTATACTTATTCCCTGAATCATTCATCTGTTGGTAAAAATGAGGCCATTTACATAGAAATATAGTCTCAGAAATAGAAAACTAGGGTCAGCGAGATGGCTCAGCAGACTAAAGCACCTGCTTAGGCAAGCTTTGGCAGGCGCAGCGACAGTGATTAGATCCCCAGCACCACTTGCCACTTGCTGTGCCAGCCCCATACCAGGGCAGGTTAAGCTAGCCAGAGGTGTGGTGGCACGTGCCTGTAATCCCAGTACTGGGGTGGCTGAAAACAGGAGGACCACTAAACGTCTGAGCTGCATAGTGAGACCCTGTAACAACCAAATACATTTTTAAAAAGAAAAAAAAAAAAATAGGACTGGCCAAATAGCTCAGCAGATTAAAGCGCCTGCTCAGGCAGATGCAGGGGCCAGGGTTCAATCCCTGGACCTGCGGCGCCACCCCCACCCCAGGGAGCACTGAGATGGCCATTGAGACTGGATGTGGTGGCACGTGCCTGTAATCCCAGTGCTTGGGAGGCTGAACACAGATGGGTCACTATGAGTCTGATCTATGTAGTGAGACCCTGTAGACCCTTTAGACCTTGTCCTAAGTACAAAACAAAAGAAAGAAAAAGAAATAGAAAACTAATATGTTCATATTACTAATAGAGAATAGAAGAGGTACTAAGGGCAGTTAAATTATACTATATGGTCTTCGTCTTATTACTAGAAATATTTACTTTATGGAGATTATTGATACATCTATGTATTATCAAGATATTAAAACTTTTATATATCTAATAAGTTATTATTCACTAACAAATGGGATGAATTGCCCATGTAATTATAATTTTTTTTGGTGGTACCTAGGATCAAACTCAGGACCTTACACTTGCCAGGCAAGCACTTAGTCCACTGAGGTATCTCCCCAGCCCCGTGATTATAAATCTTAAAAAGTGTTTCCTCAAAATAGACCTCAACTGGCCAATTCCTTTATTTCATTTTATATTACTGTTTTCCATGCTATGTAACATTCCTATTAATTTCCTTTGTAGTGATACGTACCAGTCTTTCATAGAAAAGAGGAGAGCTCTTGATTATCTTTTGACATATAAACATAAAAGAGAGATGAATGAGCTATAGCCATACTCCCTTGTTTCCTACCCCTAAGCTTAACTTTTCTTACGTTAGCAATGGCGCATGCCAGCAGCAACTTGCTCCATACTCCAGCTGGAGGGATTGCAAGGTTTTGCGCAAAGACAAGGAGTCTGCCATTGGGTGCTGAAGTCTTAACTAGCTGGAAGTGAAACAAGTTACCAGCAAACACGCAGTTCCAGAAGCATACTTGTTTGAGAAACATCTGCGTGCTGAACTGTGCCTGCCGAATATGTAGAATAAAGTGACACTTTTCCAATGTGGGTGACTCTGGCACTGAGGTTGACCCTCATTTACCTGGAATATGTTCTTTCCAACCTCATCAAACATTAAATAAAAATTGTTGAGAAAATATTTTAAGCTGGTACAACAGTGAGTATTTAGTCTCATAGTTGAAAAACATTGACATTTTAACATAAAATTTCACTTTAGCTTTAGGAATTGATTATATGAAATTATGTTAAATTTGGAAGCACCTAAAATAAAAATATTTCACACTGCATTAAGAACTAACCTAACCATGTGTTAGTAACATGCCATAGTCAATAAGGAAAAACCCTAAAGAAATTATTTTCCTAATCCCTGTGAAAGTTTACCATAATACACTACAAGAAATTTAAACCTAGGTTTCCAGATGTTTGAAATTATTATAAGTTAAAATATCCTATATTTTCCTGCGTTACCATTTTGAGATACTTGGGAAAGAAAAGCCACCCACAATAGAAGATATTATAGAAATAAACAGTGAATGTTTAAATTTTAAAAATGTAGCACAGTAAAAGGCGCATTGCCGTAAATCTCCCCCGAAAACTCTCCTTTGCTTTGTGATTTGAGCAGATTCATCCCATCCTTTTGGCCACTTTCTGAAGCAGCTCTGGAGTTGCTCTTTCATACACATCTTTCTGTGGCGTGATCAAAACGTACAGCATCTGCTGCTGCTGCTGCTGGGCACCAGCCAACAGAAAGGCAGCAGGCCGCCATGCCCTCGTCCACCTCGTTCACCGGGTCTGCCACCAGGCACCTCTGGATCTTCCTCAAAGCCGAAATGACTGCAAAGGCAAACTGTTCTGACTTGATGCAGAGCTCGTGGCAGCTAGGAAAGCACGAGTACAGCACGGGTGACATGGTCTTCCAGAACTGCTGTAGAAAGTGGCCAGAACCACGGGGCGAGCGTGTTCCGAGCTCCAAGCAAGGGAGAGCATTAGTGGGCAGTGAGTGCCAAAGCGTCTGTTGCTGTAATTGTTTTAAACATTCATTGCGTATTGTGATCAGGCCTTACAGTTTACTTGCCCCCTCAGGCTGAGATTCATTGAGACTTTCTATCACTTGATTTATAGCTGCCAAGAGAGCCTTACTGGATGCAGCCAGTATGCCCCTTTCCTGGGCATTCTAAGAGGTGCCAAGGAAAGGGGACAGAGCCCCTTGTGAACAGGAAGAGCTATGGCTCCTGCCCAGGACCTGTGGAGCTCCTAGCTGGGGCTCCCACAGTCCTGCTGGGGGACGTGAGGTCCCGCTCAGCTCCGCAGGGCGCACCAGCTGCCCGGAGCCCCTCCCTGCTCCCTCTGGCTGTGCTCCAGCCTACCGATCCCACAGCCAAGAACTCGAGCAGGCAGAGTGAGACCCGGAAGTCATCCTGGAGCGCTGCCTTAGGAATCGGTGCCAGCTGGGCCGTGCTGAAGACAGCCGTGGCCCCCAGAGACCTTTGCTACAGGAGACCTCATTCTGACTGGAAATTTCTCTCCGTAGAGGCTCCCAGGACAATTCACAAAAGGAAGCATTTCCCGAGTGCCGCTGATGCCATTGTGCATCTTATAACATGCAGCACAAGCCCGTCAGTTACCCGTTCAGTGGGACAAGCCTTTGCCTTCCATGTGATAAAACATTAGTTATTTAAAATCATATTTTTAAAAATACAATCACTCCAAATTAATTATCTTTTAGTAATGATGGGGAAGATGCTTGACATGTATTTTTCTGTCCAGTTGGGGAATTGAACATTCCAGCCCAGTTTCTGCTTTGTATTGAGGCAAGATCTCGCTAAGTCACTAAATTTCCTGAGCTGGGCTTGAACCCCAGATCCTCCTGCCTCAGCCTTGAATGCAAGAAATGTGAGACACATGGCCATTCTGTATGTCCAGTAAATGAATCAAGTCTGGTCTTTAATCTGGCTATCCTCACCCGATGAGGAATTGCGCAGGATGCTGTGTGATGGCTCAATACCTTCCACCATTATTTGATCAGAAGAAATTACTTTGAAAACTACCACACCTCCCCGGGAAAACCCAAAAGTTACGCCATCAACACTCACTAAGTGGTTCCGTTCTCTAAAACATTCCACATCAGCAGTCAGTCAGCTCACCGGTGCCTTCTCTGTCTCTGGCAGGGAAGTTTGTTGGTTTGCTTGCTTGTTTGTCTGTTTGCTTTTGCCTATTTGCAGTGAAAATTTTCATAAAACCTTGTTTTCCATTTATGGTATAAAATGGAGAGCTAAAAATTAATAATGGAGATATTGTCAAGTGAAATTTGTTATTTTTAGTTCTATGACTAAGGGAAAGTAAAAGAAGATGCAGGACTACATTAAAAGCTGAAAGACTGCTTAGGAAAGTGCAGGGACCAGGATGTGATCCCCAGCACCGCATGTCACACCAACCCCGCCCCCAGGAGCGCTGAGCCAGCCACCGAGTCTGGGTGTGGTGGCACACGCCTGTAATGCCAGCACGGGGGAGGTTGAAAACAGGAGGATCACTACAAGTCCAAGCTGCGTAGTGAGACCCTTTACCAAATACATAGGAAAAAAAAGTTGAGAGAAATAAAACAGCTGTGGTGCTGGCAGAGGGGTGCAGATCGCTGTACTGAACTGTGATATGAACTATTTAACCAGGTTTGTTAATAAGCAAATTCACTTTAGAGTTTCTCCAGATAAGAAGCTTCTCATTGCGGTAACCTGTCTAAGAAACACATGTAAGTGGGTATATTACACATATTTCAATATTTAACATTTCTTTATGCACTCCCACAACTAGATAAAACTACTTACTCTGTAGTAACTTCTAAGAAAAATACTGACTTCTGACAGATGCGATCTCCCCACCCCTGCGTGCCCCACCCGCTTGGTTGTCATCTTTCCCCAGGGTGGAAGGGGCTCTGGGCTGAGTGGCTCTTGGTATTAATAAGCAGGTGCAGAGGGTAAGCCCACAGGCAGGCAGGTTGGAAGCACTAACCTGTTGCTAGCCATGTGAAGGTGTGTGTTGAGTGTTTAGCACAAGAGGCAGCTCCTTGAAGACATCAAACCTAAGAGCTGAGTGAGAGAAGCTCAAGGCTCAGGGGCTCTCAGAAGGGGAAAGGGTGCCACCTTGGGACACCTTTGAGATGCCACCTTGGGAGGTGGGTTTGCTGGTGTGACTCCCATCTGCGGACCTCTTCTGACCCTTTTGTACCCTTTGGATAGGCGTGGTCTTCCCTTACTTCCCAAGACTGGGGCGCTACAACCTGAACTTCCTGGAGGCGCGCCAGGCCTGCCTGGACCAGGACGCGATGATTGCCTCCTTTGACCAGCTCTACGAGGCCTGGCGCAGCGGGCTGGACTGGTGCAACGCAGGCTGGCTTAGCGACGGCTCCGTGCAGTACCCCATCACCCGGCCCCGGGAGCCCTGCGGCGGCCAGAACACGGTGCCTGGAGTCCGCAACTATGGCTTCTGGGACAAGGAGAAGAGCAGATATGACGTGTTCTGCTTCACCTCCAATTTCAATGGTAAGCCCACACTGCAGGCTGCGTCCTACTGGGACCTGCTGCGTGGGGCCCTGCTCTGGGGTGACTCCACTCTGCTTAAAAACCAAAGTTTTACATTTGGGAGGCTGAAAACAGCAGGATCACTATGAGTCTGATCTGTGTAGTGAGCCCTTGTAGACCCTGTACATAAAAACACCAAAGCTTTGAAGTATTCTTGCTGTAGTTTGAAAAGCTGTGCAATGCTCTTGTGCGTCGTAATTTTAGCACAATCCATGTAAGTTGGGGGAAAGGTCCATGTTTCCAAGCCTCAGGCTTTAGTGCATCCAAATGTGGTGATGCGGCAGCTGGACCCTCACGTGCCATCAGGGCTGTCGGCAGTGGACTTCGTGGCTTGGATTCTCAGTTCTGCTCTTTGAGATAAAATCTTGCTATGGCACTACATTGCCCAGGTTGGGCTTGAACTTGTGATTCTCCTGCCTCAGTCTCCCAGAGTGCTAGGACTGCCAGTGTGCACCACACCAGGGAGCCAGCTACCTCACTCAGGGGGCCTGATGCAAAATGCAAACACGGATTAGGAATTTTAAGATGACAACTGAGAAAGTGAAGCCAAGTGTGAGGTGTGTCAAACTATGGACAGAGGGACTGCACAGGTCAGAAAACCAGGAAGCAGGACCTGGCCCCTGCAGAGTATGCTGCTTGAACCAGAGGGCATGCTTCTGGGGAAGTGGGAAGGGATCAGAGGTGGACAAAGTCCTCTGGGAAGAGCTGGGAGCAGACATTTGGGCTGCTTAAGTGGTCTGCTCATACCTCCTGCCCACAGCTCTGTGTGCTCCAGCAAAAAAAGCAGCCCTGCCCACACCATCTCCCACTCCAGGCTGCCTCCGAGGCAGGTCCTGCAGCATGCTGACCTCTGGACTAGGGAACTCCCCCTGTCTTCTTTTTCCCATTGGCATCATCTGAGTCCAGAGAGAGCCAGGAAGTTAGTAATTTATATTTTAATTACATTGCATCCCCAGTGTGCACTTCCATAAGAGGATCTGGGTGTCTTCTGTCTGAAATTAAGAAAATTGGGCTGGGGAGACAGCTCCATGATCTAAGCGCCTGCCTGGAAATTACAAGGACCATTGTTCAATCCCTGGTACTGCATGCCCTGCTAGCCCCAAGACTGGGCATGGTGGCACATTCCGTAGTGCCAGCACTGGGGAGGCTGAGACAGGAGGATCACTATGTCTGAGCTGCATAGTGAGACCCTGTACCAAATAAATAAAAAGATTTTTTAAAAATTAGAAAAAAAGGGGCCAGAGAGATGGCTCAGTGGAATAAGCACTTCCCTGGCAAGCACAAGGGCCTGAGTTCAATCCCCGGTTCTGCCAAAAAAAAAAAAAAAAAAAGAAAGAAAAGAAAAGAAAAAAAAAAAGAATCTTCCATCAGCAGGTACAACTTCTGTCAGCCAATGTCATACTTTATCCATTTTGCACATATTGTACATAGTAACAGCATCCCAGTAATTAACACTGTGCAATAAATGGTGAAGCCTAACTAGTTTTTCTCATGAAATTAAGATGTGGCAAGGAGTCAGGGTGAGAGAGTGGGAGTCCAGAGTGACCACAGTCCGTCTTATTTGCTAGTGAGCGAAGACGGGCTGGGTTCACGCTCCGTGTCCCTATCGTTTGTGGCAAGTGGCTTCCTGCATTTTACATATTTTCCTACTGTAGTGTTTGAGGATAATGTCTTATTGATACCTGGGATGAAAAGGACTTGAGAGCTTTTGATTTTTTTTTAATGGACTTTTATGCCAGAAAATTTTTTTTTTAATCCTTTCACATTCAAATTTTGTCTCTCTGGACACTTGTGCTGGGCTTCAGCCTCGCTCCAGCTAGAATTTCAATAGCCCTTGCTTTGAACGTCCAGGACCACAGGAGGGTGCTTTTTAATCGCTAATTAGCTAGCAGAAATTCTATCTGCCATTCCCATTGGGCCACTAAAGCTGTAAGAGGGCATGTGTGAACACACACTAAGGGACAAGTTCTTAAAAAGGAATTGCATGGCAGAGCCCCAGCGCCCGAGGATGCATTCACAGCCCCAGCTTCCCAAGGCCTCCCAGACCTCACGGAAAGGACTTCGGGTCCAGCTCCTTCTCGCCAGCTCGGTCACCGTGGTCTCTTCTCTCCTCCCCGCAGGCCGGTTTTACTATCTGATCCACCCCACGAAGCTCACCTACGACGAGGCGGTGCAAGCCTGTCTCAACGATGGTGCCCAGATCGCCAAGGTGGGCCACATCTTCGCAGCCTGGAAGCTGCTGGGCTACGACCGCTGCGACGCGGGCTGGCTGGCCGACGGCAGCGTGCGCTACCCGATCTCCCGGCCCCGACGGCGCTGCAGCCCCAGCGAGGCGGCCGTGCGCTTCGTGGGCTTTCCTGATAAAAAGCACAAGCTGTACGGCGTCTACTGCTTTCGAGCATACAACTGAGGGGAAGCCGGGCGTCGCGCCCAGGTCACTGGGAACATGTGAAAGGTGTTCGGTTTGGTTTGGTTTTTCAATACGAACTCACTGCAAGTTACCAAAACTGTGATAACCCTTTTTTACTGTAAAGAGTCATTTTCATACAGGCCAACTCATTAATTTGTTCTTTGTAAAGCTATCCTTCAATATATATTGCAAATTAATATAATTTTAAGGGGAGCTCACGTGACCAGGAGGCTTTTGAGCCGAGCTGTGCGCGCGCTGCCTCCCTGTCCCCTTGCGTGACCCGGTCGCTGCAGCTCCAGGCTCGCTCGGGGGCCACGAAGGCAGGCAGAGAGGCTGCTCCCCAGAGCACCAGCCCCCACAAGCACAAACTTCACGTTTCTACAATCCTGAGACAGACTCTGATGAAAAGATTAGAGCAACAGATTTGCAGTACAGGCTTCTGCACACAAACATATTCCGAGGGGTGGCCCAAAGCTCACATTTCGTGAGAAAGCAGGCCACGCTTCTAAAGGTTACTATTTCAAGCTTCCAACAGACGGTCTTTGACTTCCTCCAACCACCCCACCCCTTTGTTTCCAAGCGACAACAAAACTTTCGTATGGGCTCAAAGACATAGTAATAAGCACAGGGAATCCTTCTAATAATCTCATTTACATGCACTCTAAATATGCAGCTAGCATTCAACCGGTGAGAGACTTCTACCTTCTTTAATGAAAATTACACATGTCTGAGAGAAATAGCTTTATCTTTTGCATAGCATAACTGAGTTGTATTTAAATTTGAAGCACCCTTGCTAGGTAGCGTTTAGGATCCACTCAGGGTAGTTCTATAGATAAACTGCTGGACAGAAAAATTGTAAATTTAGCAGCTCGATTTTACATTAGTCAATGAAGTGTTATTGTCCTATAAAAATAACTTTAAACTATTTAATATTTCTTTTCTATTTACCTTACATGAAAAGATTAAATCATAGACAGAATGAGTAACCATATATTTGCCTAACCAAGGAATAAAGACCCAACTTTCAAAATTTGTATTTCTATTTTTACGCACACTAAAAAGTTCAAATGGTGCCTGTTTTGGGGGACAAAGCAAATAACGTAGTCCTAAGCCGTCCTGGAACTAACAGACATGGTCAATGCCATCGACCTTGCTGGCCATCATTCGGCATATGCGAAATGCTGAAGCTGTCATCAAAAAGTTTACACGAAAATCTTCAGGGCTTTAAACAAAATCTAAGTCCAGTTTCAAAAAAACAGCTTCTCATGTAGCAGCTCCCATCTTCAACAAAGCTCTGTTTTCCTATATTTCTATGACCGCTGAGACCCCATAGGGACCAATATTTGTATTCACGTCACAGTTCACGATTTCTCAATGTCTCACAACAATTTCTAATCAACGGGATTTAGTAAAATAATCTAAGGGTGGCATAGCTGGAATGCTTTCATGAACGTTTTTAATGTAGATTTTTCTCCCATGAACATGAGCAAATAAATCTGTTTCTTGAACTGATTGTGGTTGCATTTAAAGCTCTGTAATAATCCTAGTAAGTTCATAAATGTAGAATTATATATGTGGAAAGTATAGAGCAACTGGGAGTCCATGAAGCTGTAGCTATATCCACATATTATCTAGCTGAAACACTGTAAATAAAAGTAGATTATTGGATCAAAAGCATATCTGGAAATTTTCAGAGCCTTTAATATTAAAAGATGACAATGTATGCATGCATGTTTTTAAGTTAGACCAGATATGTGAATTACGTGAAACTATAGATCCAAAGAGATTGTGAGATTTAATTCAAATACTGCTGGTATAAATAGAACCCACACTTCTAAATTAATGATACCTGAATGGGCTAGAGTAAGAGGAACACATTATTTAAAGAGGGGACTGTCTCCAAAATTGCAGCTCCAGCATTTCAAATTAGAGTGGGAGTTAGCTCACTGGAGTAAGCCCATACCTGAACAATTATTGCCTATCTCATAAGAATTTTATTAGAAATGAAAATGAGAAAAATTTTCTATTGAAGCAAGTATGTAACTTTCAGTTATTGTCACAGAACTCTGCCTTTATAGTGTTAACTGTAGTATGATTTCTTAATTTTTGAATACTTACTAGTACAGGATTTGGTGCTGATCAAAATCTCTGGAGCGACTGTTAGCTGATCAACCTCTGTACCAATTGCACACCATCTTCCATGCTTGAAATAAATCTTAACAGAATGAATATTGCTGAACGTAACTGTTAGCTTCTGGTCCTACCTACAGGATCAGAACCCATATACTCTTTGGACTCCTAGCTGAAGAAAGAGTCTTTTTACTGTTCTGATTTTGCTGTTTTCCCAACAAATGTCTGCTTGCCTACTTCATTGCCCAAAATATCTCATGGAGAATGTCTGAAAAAGAGAAGTTCTCCTGGTCAAAATCATAACAGAAAGTTGGTATAACAGCAGCTAATTCAGAAATTGGCTTTTGGACTTTGATTCCAGGAATATCAAAAGAATGAAATGGAAGGCTGGTTACAAAATCTTGTTTTCACCATTTTGTCTATAATTAACTCTTGTGACCAACATACAGACGAAAGCATATCTACGAATTTCACTAAGACAGCTACATTTTAAAATCTAAACAAAAAGAAGCAATTCATATAAAAACAGTCAGAAATGAAAAATTGTCACATTAACACTGGAAGCCATCTTTGAATGACTGCTGCCGTATTTTATCACAGTATTTTTTAGCCAAATATGGTATTTGTAAATTTAAACTTTCTTTCATAGAAAGGGGGCCGGTACCTGTTAAAAGTGTTATTTTATGCAATAATATAGTCGCTTGTTATTTTGGCAATAGAAGTAGACTCAGAGGAGATTCCAGTTTGGTTGCTGGCAGCCAGGTTGGTTTCTTGATTTCAGGACTCCTAGGAGCATGGTGGTCCCATGGAGTAGTTGCCACTATGGAGTGTAGGATTAACAGGGAATCATCTGTTCAGTGAGAACCCATCAAGAAAGGCCAATGATGAACAATGTTAAGGGTGTCACAGCTCACTACGCCCAAAGCAGTAATGATGTACAAGAGAAGGAACGAATCAGATGATCTTAAGCTACCAGATGAAAACAAAAATCTCTATATAAAGGCAATACCTAAGTACCAATTTGAGAAGAACCAATCTGTGTTACAAAAAAAAAAAATGTTTTCATTTTCTGTAAGATAACAATGAAATGGTAAACATTAAAAGTCAATTTTATGTCACTGCAGTATCTTCTGATTTTTCTGAGTTGTAGAATCAGCTATTTTTCTTTGTGTCAGACGCTCATTGCATTATTTCAAGAAAACACATTTGATTTATCCTTGTACTAACTGAGTGGATAATGTAAACACATCAGCTCCTTCCATTTCCTAGTATTTCTAAAATGTTGAAAAAGGAGTATACCTATGGCATCATGACCAGTAGGCTTTTTTCTTTTTTTTTTTTTTTTTAATGTATTTAGTACAGGGTCTACAGGATCTACAGAGTCTCACTAAGTAGATCGGACTCGTAGTGATTTTCCTGGTTTCAGTCTCCCAAGCACTGGCATTGCGGGCGCACAACACTACGCCCAGTCTTAGTCACCTACTAAGTTCCGCCCCACCCCCAGCAGCAGGGCTGGCACTGCATGCAGGGGGCGGGACCCCAGCCCCTGCGCTTCTTTTGTCTTTTTTATACAATTCAAATGACTGTTTCGCTCACCAATTGAGCAATCTCAGAAATCTAAGGTATACTGATTCAATTAATATTGCTGAGATACTTTATGGCCTTGACTACGAGTATTGAATTAAAAGGTTTTTTCCACAGCTTAATCCTTTTCCACTTTCAGCTCCACTAACAGGAACTATGTTTTCCAGTGTTTCCATCCCTACCATAAATTTTCCACATTAAAAGTAGCTGTGACTTTTCCTGGCACCCAGGGGAAATGGATTCTAAGGTGCAGGGAGTCCACTGTTGACACGGTACTTAAATGACAGCACACCCGAGTTTGAACCATTGGCATTTAAACAAAAAGTATAGTTCCTTTAAGAATATATTGAACAGCTTTGAATAAGAAGAGTTCCAAGAGCAATATCAACTGAATTCATCTCATCGTATTTAAGTCCTTACAAATGCAAAGGGCATGTGCTTACATTGGTAGCCTATTTTCAACCTGCTCACACTCAGAGCCTGCTTTCAGCGATACTGGAGAGGCCTATGGCGTTTCCTGACGATTCTTCAATAAAAGCAAGTTGAGCTGTTGAGCCGTGAGTCCCTCAGTTTCCTATCAAGCGACAAACACTATTCTTGAGCAGAACTGTCACTGCTCCTGCTGGTCAGCTATATAAGGAAAGTAATAAAGGGAAAGGGTCACTGGGGAACTTGAAGGAGACATGAGGAACCAAAGAGACACTGAGAGCTGTTTCCCTTCCTGCCTCGATGCCTTGGGCCCTGCTTTAGGGTTGCTCAACATCTCTGTGATCTTTGCTGTTGAGTAGGTGCTTCCCTCTGGAACTGAGCACACAGGTAGGGAGAAAACTCCTTACACACACTTTTTCCTACTAAGAAACAAACGAAATTTATGCATTTTCATTGTGTTCCTTTCATTGTCATACCGTGAAGTTGTCACCTTCATAGACACTCATCATACAATACCTGAAATACCCCCGGCTGGGCCAGGATCTATGTCATTCTACGTCTTTTAGGAAATCAAGCGATTTTCCTCTCAGGAATCTGGGTCCAGCACCTTAGCCTGAGGCCACGCAGCAGCAGCTCATGTCTTGGCTATCCAAACTTGGCTTATTCTTTCAGTGGGTGTCTGCCTGCTGCTTCAGCTCTGTCTATTCAGGAAAAAGCCCCAAGGCAGAGAGAAAGCTCCGAAGCACCAGGACCTGCTAATGAAACTATGGACTCTAATGGCAAACGTAAGACTCTTGTAGTGATAGCAGAGTTCTAGCAACCTCACATCCCAATATGTTTGTTTGTAGGGAAGAACCTTTCCCCAGATGTTCATTCTGCTTGAGATATCTGTAGTTTATTTTCTTATTTTTGTACTTTTACAAAAGGTGTCTTCTTTTGCCTTTGATCAATTGAGATTCTTCTTGCCAAAAATCATACGCAAGCAAGGTGCAAAGCAAGTCCGTTTGAGACTTTACAGCCTCTGAAAGGCTTTGCAGAAGCTGAGTGTTGTGCATAAGACTAGATGCAGAGCTGCACAAGCCCTCGTTTATTATTCTGATAACTAAACATATGTGCACACAACTGTCTGGGAGCCCAGAGAAAGCGCAATCGGGTCCCTGTGATTCTTACTGGGCTCAAGTTCTGCTGGGCCGAGCGGTGTTGCTGTGTCAGAAAGTGCTTGTTCCTGCAATGACAGCCAAACTTCAGGCAGCTGAGAAGTAAATTCTCTTCTAATAGAAAGAATGTTTTGAAAAAGCTGTTCTTCCATCTCAGGGTCCATAAAAGTTCACTAATAAGTCAGAGCTCAGGTTCTCAGCCCTCAGAATCATCCAGGAAGCTTTAGGAAACACCCAGGCCTTGTCTCTGATCCACAGTGATGATCAAAGAAGCAACTGGATATCAGGAGTTGAGGGGCTCCCACCTCCCACGGCCAGCAGCCCGCTGCTTCCAACAGGCGGCCAGGGTTAGAGTTACTGATCTCACCATCTCATGAAAGGACCAGGTGCCTTCCCAGTTGTAGATCATCAGCTAATGTTTATAACTCTCAATATAAAATTATTTTTAAAAGTTGGGTAATTTGTTTGCATATGATGACACTTTGAATATTAGTGAATACAAATATAAATCCTTTAATTCACCTTCTGTCTCTTGGAAACGAGACAGTTCCCATTATTTTAGGAAATATGTATCTAATAATCTGTCTTGCTATTGTCCCTCAAATATTTATAAAAGCTACTTGAACTGTTTATGTATTATTTTGACATCAAATTCCTTATTTAAAGTCCTGAAATATAAAGTACACAACAATAATTTTATAAAGCATCATGAATATAAATATTCTAACCCCATATTATAGTTAACGCTCTCGATTTTTCAGGAATATCGCAGAAGAAAAGAAATGTGTCCACCACAAGCTTCATAATGTAAACGTAGGACCTCTGACAAAAAAGTCAACATAGTATTGGCAAGAAAAGGGGGAAAGGGGCCGGCCAAATAGCTCAGAGGATTAGAGCCTTGCAGGCGCAGGGGCTGGGGGTTCAATCCCTGGGCCTGCCATTTTGGCCCCGCCCCCCTGGACATGCTGAGATGGCAATTGAGACTGGGCATAGTGGCACGTGCCTGTAATCCCAGCTCTTGGGAGACTGTAAACAGGTGGATCACTACAAATCCAATCTAGTAGTGAGACCACGAACACTCCTTAGGCCCTTCCTTAAAAAAATAAAATAGAAACAAAAAGGGAAAAAATGAGGAAAAAAAACCACAAATGAAAGAGATGTTAGAGGAGAAAGAATTCTACCTTGATCCTCAGTAAGGATTTATGGGTTGATTGAATCAGTTCCCCAAGTACCAGAAACAACTGCCAATTATTTTTAAATTGTACATGTTACAAGAGATAAATATTGTGGCTTTATCAAAGCGCAGTTATTTTATGACCCCATGGATACTGAAAACACATGTTTCTTGTAACTCAGTCCTTAACGCAGGAGACACCGGACACTGGCAGTGTGACGTGCAGCTCTATGAGCGCCTGACCCAGAGACCATAAGCCCAGAGTGCAGTTCTGGCTTTGCCACATACTGCTTCCGGGCAAGTCGTTGAACATTTTTTGACCTTGGTTTATCCATCTAAAAGTATAAATGTTAATATTAATGACCTCATTAGTGGCTGCCTTTTAGGGTTATAAATTTTGGGTGGGTTAACACATTTTGGTAATAGTGAACACAATATGCCACATTGTGCTAAGGGTTTTCCATGCACGATATGGTTCTTTTCAGTGCCATGTGGCCTATAGTTTGCTTTTTTAAATGCGGAAACGAAGGCCCACCGAGAGTAGTGATAGCCCCACCCACCATGCTGCAGCCTGTTTTCAATCGCAGGTGAACATTTAAGTCAAGCAGGAGACCGGAGGGGCTGCGATCTTTGCCATTGCACCAAAGTTGACCTCACGGAAACCCAGAGGCTGAGGCGCAGACCCCCGTTTTTACATCCAAGCAAAGACAGTCGTAGTGCTGACAATACAAAATTTGCATCCCTAACAATTAAAGGAGGTTATTCAAGAATGTGAAATTCATTATCACTCATCATTTTCTTGATATGAGCTCACTGTTCATTTTGACTGTTTGCAACTTTGATATAAGTTGAATTTTTATTTGCATAGTCTTTCAGGGAATGAACTAAAGAAAGTTTCTGGAAGCATAGGCTATTCAAACTTATGTTCATATTCTTCCATCCTCACCTCAAAGGCCAGCCCAATTCCATTGTTATAGCTTGAAAATTATAGTTTCTTATCCATAATTAATACTTATTTGTACTAAAAAAATAGAAAATTTAGAAAAGCACAAAAGGAAAAGGAAGCTCACTTATAATACATACATCTAAGAAAAAAAAGACCCTGTCAAAATTTTTATAGTATCATACTTACCATTATTTATTTTAATAAAAATTAATGATTGTTATTAGGCTCTAAATACATGCTAAACTCATTAAGCAGTTGTATAAAATGTATAGAATATAAAATATTAGGAAAACTACAACTGACGTTCCTAATTGCCCTGTGGTTATGCTATAACTACTTCAATCTGGTGCAGCTCACCCTGTTTTGGTGAAAGATGAACAACACAGAGACTAGGTTGAGATCTTAAATGCTTTCCTTTGAGCCACAAGCAAAGGTCCCCTCAGCTACCTTCCAGGGCTCGGAATTCTGGGGTGCACCAGAAAACATGGAGATCAGACCCAGAGCTTGGCTTGGGCTTCAGGGCATGAAAGTCCAGCCTGGCCCACACTAGCTTCAGACCACAGGAGGAGAGGCAGGTGGCGTCCTACCTGCACACTTTCTGAGCAAAAGAAAGAGCGAGTTCTGTTGTATATCTGGTACACTGTAAAAAGCAATTCTAAATATGAAACAGACAATAATTAGCTGTACAATCTGATTCACAAGATAAATGTTAACCAGAAAGGTGCAGTAATAATTAAACAATACTTAGTTGTCATCCAAAG